ACTGAATCTTTATTTAATATATACTTCCTTTTCTCTGTAATGTTATCTATCCGAATAGATATATAAACATCTATAGAAATTGAATTTGTATATGCTTTAATCATCACAATATCTTTTTCTAATATTCTTTTTGTTTTAATCCATAAACAGCGACGTATAAAAAAAACCGAAGAAAGGAGAAAAACGTGCAAGATATAGGCCAATCAAATAAACACACACACACATACACAAACAAGCACAAGCGCATAAAAGATAGATAAATAAGAGAGAAACAAACACTGGTGAATATCAGCGCAAATAAAGAACAATAATAATAAAAACAAAAAAATCGATTTGTTGTTTCTTCTTTTAAATGTTATTGTGAAGTAAGTTTATGTGTCATTTTACATTTCTTTTTTTTCCTAATCTTGCACTATTGGCTATTTTTTTCATTTGAGAAAAGAAAAACAGAACAAAAGAAACAACAAACACAACAATAGTAAAGAAAAAAAAAAAGATTAACCACCATAACTAATGTGTTTAAATAGAGAAGAAATAGGGGAACTACCTCACAAGATGTTTCTCTTTTGTTATATATATATAGTTATTATTGTCGAATTAAGACTGACTGGGAATGTATGACGTAAGTGTTCTTTTATTTTTTATTTTATTAATTATAATTCATCTTTATCAGGTGATTTCTTGTCATCCGTATCGGATTCTTCACCATCATCGGGTTTCTTTGTTTTTTCTTCTATAAATATAAAGCAAAAACCACGGAAGTTCTTTTCTGTTTATGTAAAATAAAAATAAAATACTAACCAGCTTCTCGTTTTTTACGTTCTTCTTCTTCTTTCTTTCGGTCAACTTCATCTTGATCATCTTTCATTTTTTTTTCTGGTTCTGTAGTTTTTACCCATGTTTCTTTAGCAAATTCTTCAGCACGTTGAACACTATCAGTGATAATTATATTATCAAAGATAGTACCAGATTTAACTTGCCATAAATCAAAACCAATCATACCAAAATCTTTATATAAATAAAGATTTTGATCTTCAACATAATCAGGATTATCAATTTCAGGATGAACCCATGCTCCTTTATAAGCTGGATTATCAATTTGACGAGCTTTCCAAACACCTTTATATTCAGGATTATCAATCATTGGTGGTTCCCATGTTCCATCAATTTCATCATCCCAATCTTCAGGTTTTTTAGCGTCAGGATCAGGGATATGTTCTGATTTATCCCAATCTATTACAAAAAATTAATTA